ATGCCTAGGATATCTATGTTTACATGTTCCATTTCATTTTTGACAATTTCCAAGTTTCCTTGATTCATACTTTGTACATTCCATGTTCCAATTATTAATGTGTGTGTACAGCTGTTTCTCTTCATTTTGAGTTGTGCTCATCAACAAATGAAGTTCCTGAGGGCTTTACTCCATTCATGTTATCATGGTCAACTCTATTTTGAGGAAGCAGCTCTTCCCCAGTTGCATTTTGAGTGCCTTCCAACCTGAGGGGCTCATCTTCCAGCACTATATCTAACAATATTTTTGTGCTCTTCATCTTATTTGAATATTCAATAATCTGGTGCTGACAGTGTTCCACTGCTATTCATAAAGTTTTCAGTGACTAAATATTTGGAAGAATCCATCTCTCCTTCTTCCTAGTCTGTCTTCATCTGGAAGCTCACCTGAAACCTGTCCACTTTGGGTGACCCTGCTGGTATTTCAAATACCAATGGCATAGCTTCCGGAACCACAAAACCATACCAGCCACAGTACGACAAACTGACAGATGTGTGGTGGAAAATTTTGCTAGAGATAGTTAAAAAATGGTTGTAACAGTACATCGACAAGGAAGTGCCAGAAATTCAAGTTGGATTTAGAAGACGATGTGGAACTAGGGGATATCATTGCTTATATCAGATGGATATTGACTGAAAGCAGAGAATACCAGAAACATGTTTACTTGTGCTTCACTGACTATGTAAAGGATTTTGATTGTGTGGATCATGACAGGCTATGGATTACACCATGAATAATGGCTATTCCAGAACACCTCTGCTCTTGAGGAAGATCTACATCAACAAAGAGGCAGTTAGAACAGAACAAGGTGATACTGAATGGTTTTAAAATCAGGAAAATTGTGCATCAGGTTGTATCCTTTTACCATACTTATTTAATCTGTACGTTGAGCAAATAATCTGAGAAGCTGGATTATATGAATAAGAATGTGGCATTAGGATTGGAGGAAGAGTCATCTCCCCGTGTGACATGCAAACAGCACAACTTTGCTTTCTGGAAATGAAGAGGACTTAAATATTACTGATGAAGCTCAAAGACTACAGATTTCAGTATAGATTGCACCTCTATGTAAAAACAACCAAATTCCTCATGACTGGACCAATAAATAACATTATGATAAATAGAGGAAAGAATGAAGCTGTCAAAGACCTTATTTTGCTTGGATCTACAATGAACATTCATGGAAACAGCAGTCAATCAATCGAATGACATTAGCATTAGGTATTTGCATTAGGTAAATCTGCTGCAAAAGATCTCTTTAATGTATTCAAGAGTAAAGATGTCAGTTTGAGGAGTAATGTGTGCATGATTCAAGTCATGGTATTTTCAATCGTCTCATATGCATAAGGAAGACCTTAGAAGAATTAATGCATTTGAGTTACAGTGTTGAAGAAGAATATTACAAGTACCACGGACTGCCAAAAGAACAAACAAAATCTGTCCTAGAAGAAGTGAAGCCAGCATGCTCCTTGGAAACCAGGATGGTGAAATTTCACCTCTCATACTTTGGACATGTTATCAGGAGTGACCGGTCGGTCCCTGGAGAAGAACATCATGCTTGGTAAAATGGAGATCAGAGAAAAAGAGGCAGACCCCCGAGATGAATTGACAGTAGTAGCAACAATGAGCTTAAATGTTTAACAGTTGTAAGGATGGCATAGGACCTGGCAGTGTCTTGTTCTGTTGTACACAGAGCTGCTTTGAGCCTGAGCCAGCTCAATGGCTTCTAATAATGACAAACACACATGTAGTGTTTTATTTATACCCAGGAAAGACCTCAGAAGGCCTTGAGCTCTTAACTCTAGCTGACCTTGGAGTTATGTACAAGCAGGAAGTGAAGTCTAACTTACAACAATATATTTCAGATTTATACCAACTTAGTTTCAACAGTGTACAAAACCTTTGCTCCTATTTAGTTCCATTCCTTCCTGTTTTTTTTTGTGCTATTATTGTTGTACATATTAAATTTTTATACAACCAAGACCAAAATAAGACACAGAAAGCAAATACAAAATGGCAGATGTAAATCTTAACTTGCTGATAATTACATTAAATGTAAAAGGGTTAAACACTATAATAAAGTGTCAGAACTATGTAGAATGGAGAAAAATCATGATGCAACTATATTCATTCTACAAAAGACACACTTTATATTCAAAGATACAAACAGGTTGAAAGTAAAAGAATGGAAAAAGATATGGTAAATAGTAACCAGAAAGATTTGGAGTGACTATACTATTATGAGACAAAATAGATTTTATGATAAAAATTGCTATTAGAGACAAAGAAGTATCTTTTATGATGCTAAAAGGGGTGAGTCCATCAAGAAGATGTAACAATTATAAACCTATATTCTCCTAACAACAGAGCACTAAAATACATAAAGCAAAAATGCACAGAATTGAAAGACGAAAACCATTTAACATAATCTGGGACTTCAATATCCTACTTTTGACAATAGATCTAGATGGAAGATTGAATAGGAAACAGAAGAAGAACAACACTATAAACCAACTAGATCTAACAGACATCTATGGAACATTCTACCCAACAACAGAATACACATTCTTTTTCATGTGCACATGGAACATTTTCCAGGATACACCATATTAACATAAAACAAGCCTCAGTAAATAAAAAAAGCCTGAAATCAAATAAAGTATGTTCTCTCATTATAATAGAATAAACTTAAAAAATCAGTAGCAGAATGAAATCTGGAAAATTCAAATACTTGGGGAAATTAAACAACACATTCCTAAATAACCAATGGGACACACATACACAAAAATCACAAAGGAAATAAAAACAAAACTTGGAATTAGACAAATTGACCCAAGAGCTCCAAGCAGCAGTGTTCGTCCAGACCACAGTTTGTGAAACATCAGTTTTCTGGGGACACTGTCCTGCTGGCAAAGGTCAAGGAGCAGAGGCCTTGCTGAGGTGGGTTCCATCCCTCTACTCCTCAACTTAATACCCAACAAAGAGATGCCTTCTTCTTACTTTGATTGTGAAGTTTTCCAGGCAAGACTTCAATGTTGGGGTCTACAGACCCCAGGGAGGTGCCACTTAGTCGATCACTGTTGTCAACCACCAATCAGGGCTGATTTTCTCCCTTCTGTACTTCAGCCTGCTGGTTCCTCATTTGGCAAATGGAAGTGGTATTGTGCCCCCTCTCCCCCAGAGGTCCTGCCTGCTATGTGGGGTGGGGGCGAGGAGCCTGTACAGAGGCTGGGTGAAGGCATGGAACATGACTAGGTGACCATCTTGACTTTCTACTTCATTCCCTTTTCCCAATGTGTTCCCATGCCCTCTCAGCTCCTCTGATGACAGTGGTGGTAACACCAGTGTGTGTGTGTTCCACGTGAGCTCTCCACTCTGTGATGCTTTAGTTTAATGACCCAGAAATGGAAGAATTTCAAGGTATTTCTTTATTTAGGTATATATATATAAAATACAGTACGATCCATGCACCAGTGTGGCCAATATACAATGATCTCTACAGTAATTACTACAATGAGAGAAAATAGGTTACAGAAATTTGCTTATCCAACTAAAAATCCTAAATTAAAATTACTAATCTAAACAGCAACCTGTTTGTTATGCAAAAATCCATTTACTCTATATGCTTGTGAGAACTAGAAACTTGTAAGTATTATTAGTAAAAAAAAAACATTATTAAAACCTAATTACTAGTTAAAAAAATAGTCAGTGTTCTCTACGCTCCCTTCTAGTGTGAGGGGACTAGTGGGTGGGGTCTGACCAGAGCAGAAATCTTGGGGAGATCATTTCTGCCCGGGCTCCTCTCTGCTGACGGATCCCACTTTCCCAGGCTATATTTGCATTGGGGTGTTCCACGCGAGGCTGAAAGTCCGTGACACACAGATGGCTGAAGTGCTCGGACAGGGCACGGGCCTTTCTGAAGTGTATGGGGCCTGCTGGGGTTCCCTGAGATGTGGCAACAAAAAGGTGCAAAGGCAGATTCCTTGTCCTACAGCCTGTGGGGTTTGAACATTGACCAGAGTTGCTGTGGGCCACATCTTGGACGCCTCTTAGTCAAGAGCTTAGGAGTCAGGAGGACAGAAAGAACAAGGGAGTCAGCGAATCAAAGGCAGGGAGGCAGGGAAAGGGGCTGTGAGAGAAAAAAAGCAGAAGATGGGAGGGAAGGACAGGAAGAGACAGCCAGCTGAAAAGCAGAGAGACTAGGCCAGGCAGAGATGGGGAAGTCATCTGCTCCAGGAACATCTGCCCCGCCTCACAGACAAAACTGGAGGAGTGTGGATGAAGGTTAGAATGGGCTCCCAGTTATTGCTGCTCCTCTCCTGAGGGGCTGCCTGTGGAGATGATCCTCCCTCTGTGATCCGTCACACTTTTAGTCTCCACTGTCCCCTCCAGGATAAATTCACAGTTGCATCAAAGCTCAACAAGCCATTTCCCTGAATTTGGTTGAAGGTTCAACGCTCAGTACAGCAGTTACCATGTGACCAGCCAGCGAGGTCACCTCATGTCTGGAGATCAGGAGCTGCCAAGTGGTCCCTTCCTCCCTCTGGACAGGCCTGGGAGGAATGGCGCGGACTGGGGCTTTTGGGAGCAGGTGTGATAGGCAGTTAGAGTCTTGCCCCCCAGGTCAAGCTGTCCAGTCCTTTGGTTCCAGCCAGGCACCAAGACTGTACTGACCTCACAGGGTGGGGGGGTCACTGCAGTTGGGTCCACTCTGCAGCCTTGAGGAACCAGAGGAAGTCTTTGGGTTGGACCCATGGTGGGATTATGGGAATCTCCCATCTCAATTTGAACACTAGTTGACTTTTCCAGTACTTAGGGGGTATTGAGCCCCAAAACATGTCTGGACGCTTTAGAGGCCTGGATTTGCAGAATCCATGAGGGAGGGGTACTGGACTTGGTGTCAGTGCCACTTTTCCTGAGCTGCAGCCGTTTGGATCCCCAGGCCCGAAAGGCCAGGTCCCCTAGTACAGCAGCTCCTCCCGGGGGTCTGAGCCATACAGCTCCGCCAGCATCTTGAACCTGGGGCCCCAGTCATTGAGGAAGTCGTAGTCGATGTCCGAGTCAGATGAGTCGGTGACCAAGGAGCTGAGCGACTCGGCAATGGACTCGGAGCCCTCGAAGCCGTAAATGTGAAGCGTGTCGTAAGGGGGCCCGTCACCGTCGTGGTCCGCTTCGTCTTTCTTTACCTCGATCATGGCCGCCATCTCGCCCGGCGCACTGTGCATGCTGGGCCCGCGCCGCGGCGGCTTCTGCACCGGCCGGTAGAGCGTCGGCCGCGAGTTAGGAGAGCGCGGGGATTGGGGCCCACCGCGACGCACCGAGTTGAGCACGGACACGTCGTAGCTGGTGGTGTCCATCTCTCCGCCGCCCTCCTCGTCGTAGGTGACTAGCTGCTCATGGATCTCGGGCACGCTCTTGCCGTGCGCGCGGGCCTGCTTTCGGAGCCGCCGTCGCAGGAAAATGAGGAGGGTGATCACTGCGAGCGACAGAGCAGATGTCACCTCAGAGCCCCATCAGCGGCCTCCACCTGCCCAGACTCGGTGCGACACCTTCATGACCGCACCACACAGAACATTTGACTTGTTCAGGCATCTAGTGGGTCACCTGTCCCTGGAAACGGCACCCAGGGAGGTCCCAGGTGGGACACTGAGCCCGGGGAGCATGGACGGGGATTCCTGGCTTCCCCTCCTCCCTGTGAAGCCCCCTTGGCACCCCTGCCCCGCTCAGGTCGCGCCCCCACTGACCTGCGATGGTGAGGATGCAGAGGAAGATGGCTACCAACGCCTGGACGCTGACGCCCACCTGCGCCACAGCCTCTTCACAGAAGGTGAACTCGCCGTGCTCATTGCACTTGCATACCGCCACGGCCAGCGTGTTGGTGCTCGTGAGGCTGGGCTTGCCGTTGTCTGAGATGAGCACAGGCAGGTAGTGGATCTTGACACGCGCGCGGTCAAACTGCCCGTACTTAACAGTGATGTTGGCTGTGTTGTCTGCAAACATCAAAGCGTACACATTGCAGGTCTCCTCCTCCAGTGAGCCCTCCTTGACTGAGCCAGCTCATATGCTGCTTGGGGTGTTTCTCTGCCCTTTGCGTCCCCAGCCGCATGTTTCAGTCATTTGAATTCAGACCTGTGTGCCCATAGAGAGGGTGTTTTGGCAGCTACTTTGGTCCTGCAGGAGTCCAGGTGTGGTACTGTGGGTTAATGTGCCAGACTGCAAATCCGTTTGAATTACAAGGTCGGCGGTTCAAGCTCACCAGCTGCTCCTCGGAAACCCTATACAAGGTCGCTATGGGTCGGAATCGACTCGACAGCACTTCACAACACAACAATGGTCCTGGAGTCTTGGTGTGGGTTTGAACTCCAAGGTCTATAGTTCAAACCCATAGCCTCTCCTTGGAAACCCTATTCAGGGTCGCCATGAGTTGGCGCTTATGCCACGATGCTTAACAACAATAACAGTTATAATCCTGGCGTGGCACTGTAGGATATGCACTTGACTGTTTTTAAGCAGTTCAAACCCACCAGTTGCTTCTTGGAAACTCTATGCAGGGTCACTAAGAGTCAGAACTGACTCAAAAGCACTTAATAACAGCAACTCTTAGCGGGTCTTTGCTAATAGTGGTGTCTCTGGGCAGCTGATAAGCTTGACCCTTCTCTTTCCCTAATCCCACTCCAACTACAGGGGACTTTCTCTTTGACTCAATTAATTATTGTATTGTTTCACACTTCACAAACAATTAGGGGAAAAATAAAATTTAAAAAATGTTTTTTCACATTGCACCAGCTTCTAAGGGTGTTTCTGCTGTCCCTGAAAACCCATCAAGGCAAAAGAGCAATAACAATGACCTATTCATTGCATGGACCCTTTTCCAACAACATAAATGATGACTATACATGTGGACCTCACCAGATGGAATACACAGGAATCAAACTGACTATATCTATGGGAAAAACTGATAAAGAAACTCAGTATCATCCCTCCAAACAAGGCTAAGAGCTCACTGTGGAATAAATCATCAGTTGCTCTTATGCATGTTCAGGCGGAAGCTGAAAATTAAATCCACGAGAGCCAAAATATGACCTTGAATATATCCCACCTGAATTTAGTGACCATTTCAAGAACAGATCTGTTGCATTAGACACTAAAGACTGAAGACCAGAAGAGTTGTGAGAGACATCAAGAACATCATACACGAGGAAAGCAAAAGGAGAGAAAAAAGACAAAATGGATGTCAGAAGAGACTCTGAAACTTGTTCTTGAAAGCAGAGAAGTGTGATAGTTATGATTTTGTATCCCCTCAACTGATTTCAGTAGTTTAGCAGTTAAAATGTAGTTATCACTTCCATGATGAGATCTGATCTAATACAATCAATCCCATGATAGGATCTGATGCCATCAGCCCTGATGGGATGTAAGTATCCAGTATGTTGTAAAACCTTCACTTCTCTGATGTTAGTGGAGTCAGATGCAATCTGCAGGGCTAGGTGGTATATTGAACCATTCGCTTTTGAGATATAAAAGGACAGAGAAGTGAGCAGAGAAGGAGGGTTCCACTGACACCAAGACAGAAGAGCTGGAGTGGAGTGCATCCTTTGGACCTGAGGTCCCTGTATTGTGAAATTCCTGGATCCAGAGGAAGATTGACACCAAGACACACAGAACTCCAAGCAATCCTGAACTTACAGATGCTGAAACAAAACAAGGAGTGTTCAGGGATGGCGCTCGGAATTTGTACTTCTAACCTCTTAAACTGTGAGAGAATAAATTTCTGTATGTTAAAGTCATCCAGTTGTGGTGTTTCTGTCATAGTAGCACTAGATAACTAAGACAAGAATCTAAAGCAACTGGAAGAAATGAAAGTGCTGAACAGAAAATTTCAAAGGTCAGCTTGAGAAGTATTCTAATGAAATGGACAAAGACCTGGAATTGGAAAACCAAAAGGGAAAAACATGCTCAACATTACTCAGGCTGAAGAAATGAAATGAAAATTCAAGCCTCAGATTGAAATATTGAAGGATTCTATGGTTGGCAGCTCAAATATACCAATCACTCCCTGGAAACCCTATACAGGGTTGTGTAAGTTGGAATTGACTTGATGACACTTAACAACAATAGGAAAAATATTGAATGATGCAGAAAGCACCAAAAGAAGATGAAAAGAACACCCAGAGTATGAAAAATAATTGGTCATCCAACCATTTCAAGAGGTAACATGATCAACAACTGATGGTACCAAAGGAAGAAGTCTAAGCTGCACTAAAGGTGTTGGTGAGAAACAAGGCTTCAGGGATTCTTGGAATACAAATGTTTCAACAAACTGATGCCACACTTGAGGTTCCCACTCATCTATGCCAAGAAATTTGGAAGACAACTACCTGGCCAAATGACTGGATATCCATATTTGTGCCCATCACTAAGACAGGTGACCTGATGGGATGTGGAGATCATCAAACAATATCATTAATATATGTAAGTAAAATTTTGCTGACGATAATCACAAAGCATTTGCAGCAGTACATCGATTATACCTTCAACTATAATAGGCAGCTGCCAGAAATTCAAGCCAGATTCAGAAGAGAATGGGGAATGAGGGATATTATTGCTGACGTCAGATGGATCCTGGCTGAAAGCAGACAGTGTTTACTTGTACTTTCTTGACTATGCAAAGGCATTCTACTGTGTGAAACACAACAAACTATGGATAACGTTGTGAAGAATGGGAATTCCAGAGCACTTAATTGTGTTTACAAGGAACTTGTACATAGATTAAGAGGCATTTGTTAGAACAGAACACGGGGACACTGAATGGTTTAAAATCAGGAAAGGTGTGTATCAGGCTTGGATCATCTCACCATACGTATTCAGTCTGTATGCTGAGCAAATAATCTGAGACGCTGGATTATAGGAATAATAATGTAGCATCAGATTGGAGGAAAAGTTGTGTGATATGCAGATGATACAACCTTGCTTGTTGACATCGAAAAGGGTTTAAAATACTGATGAAGATCAAAGACTACAGACTACAATATGGATTGCACCTCAATGTAAAGAAAATGAAAATACTGACAACTGGCCCAATGGATAACATCATGGTTTAAGGAGAAAAGATTGAAGTTGTCAAAGACATAACTTTGTTTGCATCTACAGTCAACACTCATGGAAGTGGCAATCAAGAAATCAAACAACACATTGCATTAGGCAAATCTGCAAAAGACCTCTTTAAAGGGTTACAGTGCAAAGTTGTCAATTTGAGGACTAAGGTGCTCCTGACCCGAGCAATGGTATTTTCAGTTGCCTATATGCAGCTGCTCCGCGGAAGAAAGATGATGAGGTTTTCTGTTCGCGTACAGGGTTGCTACGAGTCAGAACCGACTCCACAGCACATAACCACCACCACCACCAATATGCATGTGAAAGTTGGACAATGAATAAGGAAGACTAGAAGAACTCGATACATTTGAATTATGTGCCTGAGAACAATACTGAAAGTACTATGCACTGTCAAAATCCGTCTTGGAAGAAGTACAGCTAGAATGCTCCTTAGAAATAAGAATGGCAAGACTTTGTCCCTCATCTTTTGTACATTGCATCAGGAGGGACCAGATCATGCTAGGTAGAGTGGTGAGTCAGGGAAAAAGAGGAAGACCCCCAGCAAAATGGATTGGCACAAGATGACAATTGTGAGGATGGTGCAGGACCAGGCGGTGTTTCATTCTGCTGTGCAGAACCGACTCGATGACACCCACTAGCAGGCAATCTGCATTTCATAGGCTTCCAGGAGGTTCTGACATCCATGGTCAGAGGAAGCCTGCTCCAGGATTTATCTAGCCGCTCAGGGTCAGCATACTCTAGAAGGTAACAGAAAGCAAGGGAGGCCATCGTCTAGATTTTCAGATGAAAGCCAATTATATTCCATTCTGAAGTAGCTACATCTATTATGTTGTTGTTAAGTGCCATTGAGTTGGTTCCAACCAATAGGGTTTCTGTTAGCGTAGTTGTTACGAATCGGGCTGCGAGCTTCAAGGTAAGCAGTTCGAAACTACCAGCTGTTCTGTGGGAGAAAGATGAGGCTTTCTGCTCCCGTAAAGATTTACAGCCTCGGAATCCCTGTGCAGGGTCACTATGGGTCGGAACCGACTCGACGGCACTTAACAACTTAACATAGGGTTTCCAAGGAGCAGCTTGTGAACTTGCAGTTCAAACGGCTTTGCAGTCTGGTGCATTAAGCTACAGAACTACAAATGATATGGGCTTTGACATTTCATGGGTGAAATGAAAGATTTTGACATGCAGAGCATTCCAAATCTCAGTGAGACTTGGACATGGCTTGCTCACGACCAATAGGCTTCCCTTCTGGTCGTACATTGGCTGTCTATGGGGTGGTTCCTAAGCTTTTTGCCCCATTGCAAACTCCACTCTGAGTGGATTGAGGTGGACGTTGGAGATGGGGTGACGTATTTTTTTTTTTTTTTGCTAATAAAAGCACCAAAATGTTGTCTGGTTTACTGTCAGCACATCATGGTCTCATTCCCCATTTTGCATGCAGTAGGCCCTTTAAGGGTGGGTCTGTGGCTGATTCCCCTAGGCTTGTCCCAGAGAACCGACACAGGGTTCCTTAGTTGGGTCCTCCTATCAGGGACCCTAGTGCCAACCCCTTCTCAAAGGTAGCAATTGCTATTTGAATACAGCGATCCTCATCAACCACAGTTTAGGGATAGAGAGAACTTCTGCCCAGTGCTAGATGAAAAGATTGCTCCATTTAAAACCAAAGGAAATAAATGTTCTCTCTTTTTCTGAGGAGGCTGCAGAGGCAAGCATGGGAACCCGTCTACTTTTGGCTGGGATTCAGCCCACTCAGCGCCAGGGAGCACAAAAGGCCCAGGAGCTCTGATTGGCCACTAATGACATCATAGGAATTGCTGGACTGTGATTGGTGGCTGAGATTGCGTTCTAGGACCACCTGATGGTAAGTAGTCATTGTAGAGGTCCATGTTATGCATAGAGCAATTGGCAGTTTGGGTGAAGCCTAGAGCTTGCGGTGCGACTGCCCCCATATCTCGTCTCTATTTCTTACTGATCTGAGCATCTTATGGGGGAATAGGCGGACATGACGTGGTAGTTAGGTCAGGGTGGCGCTGACCATTGCATAAATCTGTGAAGTCAGTGGCAGACATTTTACGAAATAGCCTGTAACTTGTAAATCCCAGTGATTGATAAGCCACCCTGCCAAGCGCCTGGCTGCTCTGTTACGCACCCCGATTGTCCGTGAGGGTGAAGTTGCTGTCCTCATTACGCAGGGAGAATCTGAACTTCACATCTTGCGGTGTGATATCCTTGTCTATAGCTGAGATCCGCGCGACCACCTGGAGTGAGAAAAGAGGGGGACTGCAGTGTGTTTGGGGAGGCTTGGGGTTCAGTGATGGAGACGTGGGGTTTAGGCCCGACTATGGCTAAACCTGCACCCTCTTTTTCTAGCTCCCCCGCTTTACTTTCTACAAATTCTCCCTAAGCCTTCGTTTCTCCATCTGTAAAATGGGGATACTGTTGCCTTCTCTCAAGGCGGTTGCGGAGGTTACATTAGCACAGTGAAACCCTATCTGATTGTGGGTGGGAGTGATTCAGTCCCTCAGCCGGCTGCAGGGTGGCGCTACCTGGCCCTCCCACCCCACTGACTCACCTGGCCTGAGGCTGCGTTCTCACACACTTTTGGCTCATAGGGCTGGGCAAACTCTGGGGCATTGTCATTTTCATCCAGGACTTCAATGTGGACTTGTACAATGGATTCCTTGTCTGTGGGGTTCCCTGTGGGGAAAAGAGTGATGCTAGCCCCAAGGGTAGAGGGTGTATGGACCCCTGGAAGAGATGTCAGGGATGGTGCTCCCGGTGAAGGGGATGCTGCAGAGTAGGTTAAGTTTCATTCACAAGGGTGATTTCTTGGAGCATTGCTTGTAACAATCATAAAGGTAATAGGTTAACAAGTTATGCCCCTTTGTTGTTATTATGTGCCGTGGAGTTGGTTCCGACTCATAGTGACCCTGTGCAGGGTTTCTGAGGCTCTAAATCTTAATGGGAGCAGAAAGCCTCATCTTTCTCCTGCGGAACGGCTGGTAGTTTCGAACTGCTAACCTTGCGGTTCGCAGCCCGATTCGTAACCACTATGCTATCAGAGCTCCTTTATGCCCTTCTAAGGGAATGGAATATTGGTGGCCATTTATGATGTCCATATGAAGACATTTAACAATGTAATTAAAAACCTTTTTTGAAGACATTTTAGTGCCATGGAAAAATGGCTATGGAGTAAGGTTACGTAAAACAACAACAACAAAAACCAAAAACGGTATGATATTTTATATAAATGTTGTAATTATGAATGTGTTTTATTATGTATGCTATTTTATACAAATGTTTTTACTTATGTGAACTATGTATAGAAAAAAGATCAGAAAAAATACACTGTAATTCTTATAGTGGGATTGTTGTTTTTGTTAAGTGTTGTTGAGTTGGTTCCAATTCATGGTGACCCTGTACAGGTTTTCCGAGGAGCAGCTGGTGGTTTTGAACTGCTGACCTTGTGGTTCGCAGTTCAGTGCTGATCCTATAGTACCACACCAGGCGTTCAATAATGGGATTATAGGGGGACAGTAGATGGGTAATTTTCTTCTTCTTTTCTGTTATTTTTCCCCCCTCTGTTTTCTAAAATAAGTAATGATAATTTTAAAGTTAAAATAATGTAAGGTTAGCATTAGATGGAGTCCTGGTGTGGTTCTGTGGGTTAACACACTGGACTGCAAAGTCGGCTTGAACCACAAGGTCAGCGGTTCAAACTCACCAGCTGCTCCTCGGAAACACTATACAGAGTGGCTATGGGTGGGAACCAACTCGGTGGCACTTAACAACAACAAGAAGCATTCGATGGGAAAACTTCAGGAATCTCTGAAGGCTGGGCACGGCTGCTGTGCTGGAGGAAGGGGGCCTGGCTGGCATAGTAAGCGGTAAAGGCTCTCCAGGTAGCACCTGTGGGGCCTTGGCCAACTTACTCCCTTTATGAGTCCTTGTGGTCTTGTAGGTAACGTCGAGGATTGGTGGGATTTTCTCATGCTGGTGAAGGATGCCAAACCCCAACACTTGCCCTTCTCTCTGGCAGAACCTAATGCTCTCTGTGTTAGAAACTTTAGAGGTTGAATTCAGTGCTAACTGTTACATCCCCCAAACAGCATCAACCAGAGACCTCTGATAATAGGAACCACGAGGTACTCACTAAATGATAGCGTTTCACCCCATTTCTGGCACACAGAACCAGAACCTCCTGGAAGGGGCCTGAGAAACAGTGTTTAATAATGCCTTAGACAGTTGTTATCTTGGGACCATATGGGCAGACTGCTTTATAACAGTGCTTCTCAAACTATAAAGTTCATGAGATTCTTAGTCAGTGTGGGGATGGGACCTGCGATTCTTCACTTCTACAAGGTCTCAGGTGATATAGATGGTGCTGGCCCAGGGATCATATGTGGTGATGCAGGCTCTATAGCATCTCAGTCACTAAAATGACAGATGACACCAGGTTTGCAAGAATGAGAGAAGAGGACGAAGAGTCCAGGTCCCCCGGAAGATGGGGTCACTCACCACTAGAATCCAGTTCTTTGGCCTCCACAGTCAGGTTATACCAGGGGTAGATTTCTCTGTCCAGCTCTTTCTCATTGTAAATGTTCCCTTGTTTGGTTACTCGGAAGAAGTGGCCCTTGTCACTGGTCCTTCGGATGGCATATCTGCCAGGGGAGAGAGTTTTATGGTTTTTCACTGCCCTTTGCAGAATTCAAGTGCCTCAGCATAACAAGGCCCTTCAGGATCTGTCCCCTGTGTCCTTCCGCATCCCCTACCCCACTGCTTGCCCACTGCTCTGTAACCACCCAGCACATTGAGCGAACCTGTCCGTCAGCACAGAGGGATTCACGGCAGAGAGAGAATCCCTGTGATTTTAGCAACGTTGCCCTCACTAGACTGCAGGTGGTACCTGGGGTTCCACTGATAGCACTGTTAGAACGGAGGCAGCTCTAACAGCTCAGTTAGGATTAGTTTATGTGATTAGTGAAAAGAGCCAGGGAGACAGGAAAAAGGAGTTGGAAGAGGTAAGAAGCTATTGAAAGGGACTTCAATTTGTAAAAAAAGAAAACAGAAAGAAAAGTCCCCCCCCCCCCAAATCTAGGAAAAAGGATATAAAGAAATTAAAAAAAAAAAAGGGGGAGAGGAAAAAAATGCATACATCCATACATGTACATGTATATATTGATATGAATATGTATGTTGTTAGTGCCGTCGAGTTGGGTCTAACTCATGGTGAACATGTGAACAGCAGAAGGAAACACTGCCCAGTCCTGCACCATCCTCACAGTTGTCATGTGTTGCGGCCTCTGTGTCAGTTCATTTTGTTGGGGTCTTCCTTTTTTTCAGTGACCATCTACTTTGCCAAGCATGATGTCCTTTCCAGGGACTGGTCCCTCCTGATAACATGTCTGAAGTATGTGAGATGAAATCTCTCCATCCTCTAGTCCAAGGAGCATTCTAGCTGCACTTCTTCCAAGGCAGACTTATTTGTCCTTTTGGCAGTCCATGGTACTGTCAATGCTCTTTGCCAACACATAATTCAAATGCATGAGTTCTTCTAGATCTTCCTTATTTATTGTCCAACTTTTCACATGCATACGAGGTGATTGAAAATCACCTTGTGTCAGGTGCACCTTAGTTCTCAAAGTGACAACTTTGCTCCTTAACACTTTGAAGATACTCCTTTTGCAGCAGATTTGCCTAATGCAATGTTGTTTGATTTCTTGACTGCCATCTCCATGAGTATTGATTGTGGATCCTAGTAAAATGAAATCTTTGACAACTTCATAATTTTCTGCATTTATCATGATATAATTTTTTGGTCCAGTTGTGAGGGTTTTCATTTTCTTTACATTGGAGCACAATTCATACTAAAGGCTGTGGTTTTTGATCTCAGTAAGTATTTCAAGTCCTCTTTGCTTCTCCCAATCAAGGTTGTATCAACTGCATATCACAGTTTGTTGATGATCTTTCTCCAATCCTGATGCCATGCTCTTCTTCATGTAATCCATTTTAGTGGATTATTTGCTTAACATACAAATTGAATAAGTATGGTAAAAGGATATAACCCTGGTACACGCCTTTCCTGATTTTTAAGCTATTCACTATTCCCTTGTTCTGTTTAAATGACTTGGTCTATATAGATAGGTTCCTTATGAGCACAATTAAGTATTCTGGAATTCCCATTCTTCACAATGGTCTCCATAAATTTGTTATGATCCACATAGTCGAATGCCTTTGCACAGTCAGTAAAGCACAGGTACACATCCTTTTTGGTATTCTCTATTTTCAACCAAGATTCATCTGACGGCAGCAATGATATCCCTTGTTCAATGTCCGTTTCTAAATTCTGCTTAAATTTCTGGTTCCCTGTCAATGCACTGCTGTAACTGTTTTTGAATTACCTTTTGCAAAAATGTACTTGCATGTGATATTAATGATAGATTTTCACATTCTGTTGTGTCATCTTTCTTTGGAATGGACACACATATGGATCTTTTCCGATCGGTTGGCCAGTTAGCTGTCTTCCAGATTTCTTGGCACAGATGAGTGAGCACCTCCAGTGCTGCATCAGTTTGTTGAAACATTTTAACTTGTGTTCAGATTGTATGTGTGTATTATGTATTGGGAGACAATTGAAGCTTTCTACTCCTATAAAGAAGATTTATAACTTCAGAAACCTTATACAGGGTCGCTTTGAATCAGAACAGACTTGATGGCATGCATAGCAGCAGTATGTATGTGTGTATATATATATGTGTGTGTGTGTGTATGTGTGTGTGTGTGGTGGTGCGGCACTGTAAGATAAGCACTGGACTGCTAATCAAAAAATTGGTGGTTCAAACCCACCAGCTGTTCCAAACCCACCAGTTGTTCCTTGAAAACCCTATATAGGGTTGCTGTCAAAGCATACCATATGTATATATTATAGCTCTTGATAGGAATCCTGGTGTGGCGTGCTGGGATAGGCACTGGACTGCAAGGTTGGTTTGAACCACAAGGTCGGCAGTTCAGATTCACCATCCGCTCTTCAGAAACTCTTTATAGGGTTGCTATGAGTCGGAATCAACTCAAAAACACTTAACAACAATAATACACACACACGATAGGAAAACAGATATGTGCTACTATTGAGGAACATTCCGGAATAAATAGAAACCAACGAAATAAAAAATGATATAATAAAAGAAAACTTTGCTGAACTGAAGAAAAACCCAAGTCTAAAGATTAAAGGAGGTGAATTAATATCAGGTATAACTTTGGTAGCGTAGTGGTTACGAATTGGGCTGTGAACCTTAAGGTCAGCGGTTTGAAACTACCAGCCGCTCCGTGGGAGAAAGATGAGGCTTTCTTCTCCCGTAAAGATTTACACCCTCGGAAACCCTGTACAGGGTCGCTATGGGTCGGAACCGACTCGATGGCACTTAACAACAACAACAAATAACTTTCAAAAGAAATTCATCTTTAGGCATACCCTGATGAAACTTAAGAATTTCAAGACTTTGTGAAGAAACTGAGAAGAATCCAAATGGAAAAAGAAACTCCTTATTTTCAAAAAAGAGAAATCAGATGCGTCAGAGTCTACACAAGAGTCAATGTTCGAAAACAGTGATAGCATTTTTGAAGGGAAATGGCTGGTATCTGAGGGTTATAGAGCTCATGCAAATGTTATTATTATAAGAAGGCAAAAAAACAAAAAACAAAACAAAACCTAAGGTATTTGTTATGAGATGGATTTTGAAAAAACACTTTGAAAATGAAATCCATCTAATTAACAAATGCTTTCACATAATTGGAATTCTCCCATGAATGTTTTGAAGTCCCTCATATATGTTTTGGGAGAAAGATGAAGCTTTCTGCTCCTGTAAAGATTTACAGCCTCAAAAACCCTATACTCTTCTAAGAGTCAGAAGTGACTCAACGGCATACAGCCACCACCAATATAAAGTAAAAACCTGATTTTGGAAGAATGAAATGAGCTTGTTTATTTTTCATACATAGGAGAGCAATGGCTAATTCATGTGTGTGTAATATTTATAAGTAGAAAATATATGAGTTCAGGAAAAAATTAATTTTGCAGGTAGAAGTAAATCTTGCTGGTAGAAGTAAAAACAGATGTACTCTATCCAAATATCTTCTTGTTATTGTTAAGTGCCACAGAGTTAGTTCTGACTCATAGCAACCCTGTAGAGGGTCTTTGAGGAGATTTGGTGGGTTTGAGCCACCGACCTTGAGGTTAGCAGTTCAGTGCTTATCCTATAGGGCCATAGTAGGACCCCATAAAAATATGTAGAAGAAAAAAGAGGAAAGTAAAAAAAAAAAAAGAAAAAAGACTGTATAGCAAAGATGGGGGAAGGGACAGTTATTATATTTGAGAAATAATTAATGTAAAACAAGATGGAAGAAATAAGACCAAACATAACATTTATGATGAAAAATGTCAATAGGTTAAATACCAGTAATCTCAGTTTGGATTAAAAAGCAAAACCCAACTACACTCTATTTTCAAGAGACATCTTAATGCCAAATGACTTAGAAAAGTTAAAAATAAAGTTGGAGAATTTTATCAGGCAAGTCTGAGTAGCACGAAAATAGGACAGGTGAAATGAATATCAGGTAACATGGAATTGAAGGCAAAATGTTTAACGGAAAAAAACAGTGAGCAATTAATTAATGAATCAAAGTTAAAGTCACAGTGAAGGTAGAATAAAACTTTGCTTACTGTATAGGAAAATGAAGACACATATAACAAAAGCTTAGCTATTCTGGAAAAAAAATGGATGGAAATACAATTATGTTACATTGAAGATAGAAGTTAAATCAAGACAAAATTACCATTTTGAAAATGATGACAAACATGAAACCTAAACCATTCTCTTATATAAACCCTTGGATCAAATACTAAACAAAAATAACTAGACGTTTTAGAATAGTTGTTGTTGTTAAGTGCCATCGAGTAGGTTCCAACCCATAGCGACCTTTATAGGGTTTCCAAGGAGCAGCTGTTGAGTTTGAACCACCAACCTTGTGGTTCACACTGACTTTGCAGTCCAGTGCATTAACCCACAGAGCCACACTAGGACTCCAATTTAGAATAGAAATACAATGAAACAAGTACTCCCCAAATTTCTGGGATGTGATAAAATGGAGGCTTATATTTTGTACCTTAACAATGTAGAAATATTAACGCTTTCAAATTTGATACATAAACATGAGTCGCATTATAATTAGATTTTTAAAAACCTTGATAGAATAATTTTAGAGTTCATAAGAAAGCATGAATAATTGAGAATGGATAAAAAATATACAAAATAAAGAGATGGTAAGAGAGGGATTTGTCTTATGTACTCTAAGATATAGCATAAAGCTACCAACAATAAAGTAGAATAACTTTGCTATGCATCATTAAATAAAATAAAGAATTCAGAAATAGATTCAGGTCTGCACAGGAGCTTGGTGGTGGTGGTGGTAGTTATGTGCCATGGAGTCGGTTCCGACTCATAGTGACCCTGTATAGGGTTTCCGAGGCTGTAAATCTTTATGGGAGCAGAAAGCCTCATTTTTCTCCCATGGAACAGCTGGTAGTTTCGAACTGCTGACCTTGCGGTTCGCAGCCCGATTCGTAACCACTGAATAATGCCTTATCTAGGAAATGGCAGCAGCACAAAGAACCTGGGTGGTCAGGTGGTTTGCATCCACCGGGAGCAGATAGGCAGGGGTTCATTTGGATGTATATGGAAAAGCCATGTACTCGAAGGTTCTTGGGACACAAATGAGTTTATGCTTGACTGCTAATAGAAAGGCTGGTAGTTCGAGCATACTCAGTGGTGCTCTGGAAGAAAAACCCAGAGATGTGTTTCTGTAAAGATTTGTTCTTAGTCAATTCTGACTCATAGTAACCCTGTGTAGGGTTTCCAAGGAGCATCTGGTGGGTTTGAACCTCTAACTTTATGATTAGAAGTCAAGTGCGTATCCTACAGCACCACACCAGGACACCTGTTGAGCAGTTCTACTCTGTAACATGTGGGACCACTAGGAGTTGGAATCAACTGGGTGGCACTAGGCTTTTGGGTTATCAAATGTTGTTAAGTGCTGTTGAGGTGGTTTTGACTCACAGTGATCTTGTATAGGGTTTCTGAGAAGCAGCTGATGGGTTTGAACCTCTGACATTGCAGCTAGCAGTCCAGTACTTATCCTACAGTGTCACATAGGGTGGAAATATTATGAGGCTCTAAAAAGTATGAGTTACGTAGTGGTTACAAATCGGGCTGCGAACCGCAAGGTCAGCAGTTTGAAACTTCCAGCTGTTTCGCAGGAGAAAGATGAGGCGTTCTGTTCCCGTAAAGATTTACAGCCTCGGAAACCCTGTACAGGGTCGCTATGAGTTGGAAGCGACTCCACGGCACACAACAACAACAACAAAAAGTATGAGTTAGAACTTTTTGTCCCAGAAAGTAGGGAGGGGAAGTACACTTAAGACAGAGGAGCCAGTAGCAGGGAGGTAGGTATGGTATGATCCCCAAACATGTAAGAACAATACAAATCTGAAACCACGCAACCAAACAACAACAATTCACTATCATTGTATCTATACGAGTATGTGTGTGTGGTTGTGAATAACGGCATGACAGGAACCCACTAAACTAATAACATCATGAAAGGACCAAGAAACTCTGAAATAAGCTAGTATCTGGGGGTTGGGATTAGTGATGATTGTTGTAGATCTGTAAAATAAACATATCTTTTGTGGTTTTCAGAAGACAAATTTAATAAAATATTTCTAATAAAAGGGCTTCAGGTATGACATCTGATTGGTTGTTTTCGGGCCTGTCACTAAGATGGGTGAGCTGCTCCTACCTCTAACAGTCTGGTTGGCTGGGGTCCCTGGAAGGCACTGGGAGAGGATAAGATCCTAGTGGTCATTGGCTCTAACTCAGCCTCTGCCACTTCCCAGGTGATTGCTCGAAGCCCCTCAGTCCAGAGGAGATAACAATTCAAAGATTATCACATGATCCCACACACCAGCAGCCCTCACCCAATGCCACGCCGAGCCGCGTCAGGGTCCGTGGCCAGCACTGAGCCAATCAGAGGTTTCTTTTGGTTCTCACGCAGTTGGAAGTGGTAGAAAGGTTTCTGGAAGACGGGCGGTTCATCTACATCTGTGACGTTGATGAAGATGCGGGCGGTGTTTCTGTGGGAGTTGCTGTCCAGGTAGCGAAGGTTGATGGTGGGGTCCATGGCCTCGATGGTGAAGCTGTAATGTTGGATGCGCTCATAGTCTAGGGGCTGCAGGAGGGCAGAAAATAGTGAGCTTAAGACACTGACTCTCTCCTGGCTCAGTCTCCATGTGTGACAGGTCCAGCTCTGAGCTGAGTTAGGGTGAGCACCTTCACTGGGTGGGTCCTGTGGATGCCAGGACCCCCAACCCCTAAATCCTCTGTTTGGCATTATTGCTGCAGGCTACAGACCTTTATGGGTTTGATGATGCCCTCGTTATGGGTAGCGACCGTCTCGATGGTAAAGGTGTCCTTGTATTCGCCTTGCACGATGCTGTACTTGGTCATCCGGTTCTGGGGTTCATCAGGGTCCTCAACAAACAGAGAACCCAGAGGGCTGCCCACGCGGATGTCTTCCGGCACAGCAAACGTGTATTTGTCTGATGCAAATAGGTCACCCCAAAAGCCACTGAGTTAATGAGATATACAAGGTGACTGTTCCTTTATACTATTTAACATATCTGGGTACAGATAATGGGCATAGTATAGTGATGAAGATGGTAATAATAATGTCAATAACAGTACCCACTGCCATTGAGTAGCTTCCAATTCATAGTGACCCTATATAGGGTTTCTGAAGCTAAATCTTTGCAGGAGCAAACAGCCTTATCGTTCTCTCATGGAGCAGCTGGTGGGTTTGAACTGCTGACTGTGTGGTTAGTAAGTAGCCCAATGTCTAGAGTAATTCTAGATGCCAAGGTCCTGCTCTATCTGTCCATCCATTCATCCTTCCTTCCATGCAACCAACAAGTGGTTAGTGAGCACCTGCTGTATGCCAGTTACTTTGCTAGGGACTAGAGGATGGATCAGTTGACAAGTCAGGAGTTTGCATGTGCACAAGCAGGCCACTTGTGAAAACGTGAGCTGCTCAGGGATGGCCGAGTCTGTGAATTATGTCTCTGGCACTGGAGGCTACAACTGAGTGGAGCCATCCCTTTTCCTTCCCAGCCTCGTCCAGGAAAGGCTTTGCCAGAGTTTTATGGTGGGGGTTTGGTGGAGAGAACCAGTTTATAAGCGGGAACTGGCCTCAGCCCCGGCTCTGGGGTGGAGCTTTGCTATGCCCTGGCTCAATGGCTCAGGGGATGTCCTAGTTGTGGCTTGGGGCTGACCCCAAGGGTCTGGGTGAGCTGCTCCTACCTGGGAGTTGGGCTCGGGGCACAGTGTGCCTCCCCTCTGTGAGAGACCATGACAGGGCCAGCTGGACAGCCTGGGGCATGTGTTAGTGGTTGGGGAGCAAGGTCCCTTCCTGCATTGGGACTTCTCTAGGTCTTAAGCTCACCCTGGTGGGGGAGAAATCCCCAAGATGTGGACCCCAAGGGAGAAGCTCACTCTGGGTGAAGATGGGGAAGTTGTCATTGACGTCTTGCAGAGTGACCAGTACGGTGGCCGTTCCTGATTCCCCATGGAGTCCCTGGGCATCTCGTGCCTCCACCACTATTTCGTATTTTGCCTGTGTTTCTCGGTCCAAGTTTGCCGTTTTTGTGAAAATTACTCCTGCAAAAAATGACCCATATTATCCAGGGAGCTTTTAAAAGACATTGATGCTGGGACCCACCTCCAGAGACCATGAGGTAAACACTCCCAGGTGATACTAATGCACAGCCAGGACTGAGAGCACTGGCCTAAATCCACCACCTCCATGCCCTGCACTGCTGGGCCCAAGCTGGCCAAACCTGGTCCTGGCCATCTAGAGCACTGTGCTATGAAAGCTCAGGAAGCTACACCTAGGCTTAGGGTGCAAGAGTGATGCAGTGGATTAGCGAGGTCTGCCTCGGTGCACTAAAGGATTGTGGTGGTGTCTGTGCCATGTAGCTGTACAGCCTTCTGTACTAAACTACAGTTTAGTCACAGTGAACAATTACTATGGGCCAAGCTCTCTCCATACATTACCTCTCAAACTTCACAGCTGCCCTGTACACTAAAATATCGGCGTTCTAGAGAAGGAACTAAGATTCACAGGTATTAATGGACTTGACCCAGGCCTCTAGAGGTGGTGAGCAGCAGAGCTGGGCTTGGAAGCCAGGTCTGTCTGAACTAGGGCCAGGGCTGTTTGTGTCACTTGCTTGGGAAACAAGATCTTGATTTTGTTCCCTGAACTTGAGTCCATGTCTTGGGTGTCTATCTGCTTCTTTCTCCTCCTACTGGGTGCCTTGTCTTAATGTGGGATACTGAGCACCCCATGGGGCAGTGTTGCTCAATGGTTGGCAACCCCTTTAGGAGTTAGATTGAACTTCCCTCAGCACTTGCACCTGGAATACCACTCCCCCAACCCAACCCCAGGTGATGCATGTCCAGGAGGGTAAGTCACACAGACCAGAATCATCAATGCCAAATACGTCATCTCCTTTCAGGACTTGGTATGTGACAGAAGCGTGGTCTGACACTGTAGGGTCATCTGCATCCACCGCTGTCAAACGGATGACTGAGGTCCCTGCAGAGAGAGAATCCTGGGTATTGCCTTGTGTTTGCCAGCCCCGTACCCATTTCCTGGTCAAGGGAAGGTAGGGCTCAGGCTTCTCCTGAGTCCGGGAAAGAAAAGACAGGTCTGCTCTCAGAGGAGACTGTGTCAGGGCCAAGTGCTTCGGTGGCGGGGGTCCAGCCCTGTCAGCCTTGCAAGGGATCAAGAAAACAAAGGGTTGTATCTATGGGGAAATAGAGGGAGGGGTGGGGTGAATGCTTGGGGCCGTGAGGAAAATGGGGAGTACTGGATTATTCCTTCTCTTTTCTGGAAGGTAGGAGCAAGACAATGGAGATGCCTCTAAAGTGCTGTATCACATCTTTCAGTCTCAATTCAGGGCTCCTATACTTAACAGGAAGGATTGGTCCTGGGGCCTTTTCAAGGACCCTGGACTAAGAGTGTGGGAAGAGCACCCCTTTTCTGGTACCCACTGAAGAAGGACCTCAGGTAACCACCTGAGGTCCAGGTCCAGGCTGGTGACACACTCGGGGGGCAAGATCTCTGGATGCCTAAATCTCCACCTGCCCCTCCCCCCATGGTTCCTAGAGAAGGCCTTTCTTGTCTTGCTGGTGGGCTTGGCACTTTTCATGTGCAAAGGTTAATCCCAGTCTTGAGGGTCAAAAGAAGTGAATGGGGTTTGCCCCAAAGACTTATGAGATGTTTGTGCATCCCTGATGGCCGGGGCTGACCATGGTCAGGTCTTAGTCAATCCTAAAGGTCAGGTCTCAGTCTAAGCTAAGAGAGGTCAATCTGTGATCAGCATCATGTCTCAGATTATAATCATGGTCATGATTCAGTCCATGATCAAGGTGGGTTATGGTTCAGTCTATGTGTACAGTCAGGGCTTCACCTATGACTGGTATCTGGGTTCATTCTATGTGTAGGATCAGGGCTCAGTCTATATATAGGGTCGGGGCTCGTACTATGTGTAGGGTCAGGGCTCAGTCTCTGACTAGGGTCAGGGCTCAGTCTCTGTATAGGATCAGACTCATTCTATGTGTAGGATCAGGGTTCAGTTTATATGTAGGTTAAATGTTCAGTCCCTGTATAGGGTAAGGGCTCAGTCTCTGTACAGGATCAGACTCATTCTATGTGTAAGATCAGGGTTCAGTTTATATGTAGGTTAAAGGTTCAGTCCCTGTATAGGGTCAGGGCTCAGTCTCTGACTAGGGTCAGGAGTCAGTTTGGGGTCAGGTCAGAGCTTAGTCTGGGGCCCAGCATTTCTTTCATGTCATATAAAGTGGCAACATGGGCATTACAACTGCTGCTTTGGCCTGAATTCACTGACTCCCAACCATAGGCAGTAGGTGCTGATGTGAGAGCTGCTTCCAGACTCAGGATGAGGGAAGGAGAGGGACAGACTGGCCACGGTACCCATAGTGGACAGCTCAGGCACGGACGCATTGAACACTCGGTAGGGGAACACAGGCCAATTGTCGTTCACGTCGTGGACTTTGATGGTGAAGCTGGAAGGAGACTCGAGGTTCTTATTGGTATCCTTGTCCACAATGAGGGCAGTGAGGTGGTACTCGGAGGTCTTCTCCCGGTCCAGCCTCTCATAGGCATACACGTCCCCTGTGTCTTCATTGACTTTGAAGACCTTGCCAGCCGACTCGCCTTTGAGTAGGTACTTGGCATTCTTGCGGATCACGCTTGACTTGATCTAGGAAAGAAGGGGCACTGTGAGCTGGGAATGGGTGGTGGCTATGTGTGTTTGCTTGTGCACACACATGTAGGCGTGCCTGAATGCATGTGTGTGTGCACACGTGTGGATGTATAGGTGTGAGTGGGGCCAGCCAGGGGATTCTAAATGTGCCACTGTAGGCCTTTACATTTTTAAAATGAACACCCACCACTGTGGAATGGATTCCAATATATAGTGACCCTATAGGACAGGGGAAGGAGCTCTGGTAGTGTAGTGGTTATGAATCGGGCTGCTAACCTCAGGGTCAGCAGTTTGAAACTACTAGCTTTCTGCTCTCATAAAGGGAGCATACAGGCTTTCTGCTCCCATAAAGATTTACAGCCTCGGAAACCCTGTGCAGGGTCGCTATGAATCGGAACCAACTCCACGGCACATAACAACAATAGGACAGGGTAGAACTGCTTTTTCGGGTTTCTGAGACTGTACATCTTCATCTCTCTCCTGGTGGGTTTCAACCACTAACCTTAAGGCTAGCAGCCCAGTGCTTAACCCACTGCACCACCAGGGGTCCTTTAAAAATGATTAGGTTCTACATTTTAGAACAGTTTTACGTTTGTAGAAAAATTGAGCAGAAAGTACAAAGAACTCTTAAGGAACTGGATGCCACTGGAAAGCGAGGGTCTTGGAGCAGAAAAAATCTGGGTATTTGTGACTCTTAGAAGTCACTTTATTCCTCTGAACTGTAGTTACCCCATTTGTAAACGGGAGACAGATGGCCTCTGAGGGGAATCGTTCTAATGCGCACAACAGCACTGCTGAAAAGCGTTCTCGGAAGGACTGGTTTCCTGTCATATTCCACAAAAAATGGGCACTGGGCCAATGGGCCAATGGCATAACTTGCAAAAGCCAACTTAGATTTTCGGATTTTTTTCTGAGTTACTTGTTAAACACAGTCATTATTAAAGATGATGTGAATTTACAATGATATCATGTTAAAAACAAAGGTACAGTATCAAGCACTGAACTGCTAACCATAAGCTCGGCAGTTGCAAATCCACTAGCTACTCCACAGGAGAAAGGTAAGGCTTGCTTTCTGCTCCTGTAAAGATTTACAGCATTGGAAACCCTGCCTGAGATCACTGTGAGTTGGAATCAAGTTGATGGCAATGTGTTTGGAATGACACAGAAAGAGTCACTTCTGATATGGCTTATACACAAAGGACTCCTTTGTGTGGAGGTTTAGGGTTTCAGGAGGCCTCCAGTTAATGGGCCTAATAGCAGTGTTTCTGTTCTACCTCCTAGTTCCTTTGCTTGGGGTCTTAAAAGTTTGTAAGCAGTCATCCAGGACACAAATGGTCTCTATTCATCAGGAGCATCCTAGTGAGAAACAGCGTCAAGAGTAGAAAGAATATGGAATGTGTGGCGAATTGCTTCCATGAAGAGCGGCCTGCCTTCTTTGCCATGAGAACAGAGCTGGATGGTGGCTGACTACCATTACGGAACATGCTGATCAATGATTTCATAGAAGAATCCTGATCAAAAGAAGAAAAATGCAGAACAGAATTTCAAAATCTCATGTACTCCTGACTTTCTGGAGCCAAGGGGCCTAGATGAACCCCTGAACCTATTGCTCTGAGATAATCTTTAGATTTAAAACCAAAAATAACCCCTAAAGTCTTCTTAAAACTGAACAGTAGTTTAGCTAAAGTGTTGAAAAAAATGATCTGCTTTGAGCATTATGCTCTCTTGTTGTTAGGTGAAGCTAAGCTGAATGTGAATCCAAGCAAAATAAAGTGTTTGACAACTTCAATCTTTTCTCCATTTGTTGTTGTTGTTTTTAAGTGCCATCAAGTCGATTCTGGCTCCTAGCTGAGCTTGAGGTCCAGTGTACTATCCTGTGGTGCCACACCAGGACTCCTTTCTCCGTTTATCATGATGTTATTTATTGGTACAGTTATGAGGTGTTAATTTTCTTTATATTGAAGTGCAATTCATACAAAAGGCTGTAATCAAGTACTTCAAATCATCTTCACTTTCACAAGCAAGGTTGTGTCTTTTGCATCTCACAGGTTGTTAATGAATCTTTTTCCAATCCTGAGGCCACTTTCTTCTTTATAGAATCCAGTTTCTTGGATTAGTTACTCAGCATACAGATTGAATACATAAGGTGAAAGAACATAACCCTGGCGCAACCTTTCCTGATTTTCAACCATTCAGTTGTTCTGTTCTGACTGTCTATGTGCAGGTTCCTCGTGAGCACAATGAAGTTCTGGAATACCCATTCTTTGCAATGTTGTCCATAGCTTGTCATGATCTACACAGTTGACAGCCTTTTCATGGTCAATAGAGCACAAATAAACATCTTTCTGGTATTGTCTGCTTTCAACCAAGATATATCTGACGTCAGCAGTGATATCCCTAGTTTCACATTCTCTTTTGAATCCAACTTGAATTTCTAGCAGTTCCCTGCCAGTGATTGTTGCAATCATTTTTGAATTATCTTACATAAAATTTTACTTGCATGTTATATTAATGATATTGTTCAGTGATTTCCACATTCTGTTGGGTCACCGCTCTTTGGCATGGGTACAAATATGGATCTTTTCCAATTGGTTGGCTAGATAATTGTCTCCAAATTTCTTGGCATAGGTGAGTGAGGAGTGAGTGCCTCCAGTGCTGCTTTAGTTTGTTGAAAGATTTCAATGTGTATTCCGTCAATTCCTGGAGCCTTGGTGTTTTTTCGCCAATGCCTTCAGTGCAGCTTGTATTTCTTCTTACATTGGTTCTTGGCCATATGCCACCCCTTCAGATGGTTGGACACAGGCCACTTCTTTTTGGTACAGTGACTCTGTGCATTCTTTCTGTCTTCTTGATGCTTTGTGCATCACTCAATATTTTGCCCATGTTGTTGTTATTTAGTGCTGTTGATTCAGTTTCGACTTATAGTGAACCTGTATAGAGTTTTCAAGGAGCGGATGGTGAGTTTGAACCATTGACCTTGTGATTAAAACTGACCTTGTGGTGCAGTGCCTATCCTGCAGTACCATACCAGGACTCCTTCAGTATTTCAAGTTGTGGTTGAATTTTTTCTTCAGTTCTTTCAGTTTGAGAAATGCTGAGCATGTTCTTCTCTTCTGGTTTTCTAACTTCAGGTCTTTGCATATTTCATTATAATACTTGACTTTGTCTTCTCAATCTGTCTTTTGAAACCTTCTGTTCAGCTTTTTTATTTCCTCTTTTCTTCCATTAGTGTTAGCTTCTCTACATGTAAGAGCAAATTTCGGAGTCTCTTCTGGCATTCATTTTGGTCTTTTCTTTCCTGTCTTTTTAATGATCTTTTGCTTTCTTCTTGTATGATCTTTATGTCATCCCACAACTCTTCTGGTCTTCCAACATTAGTGTCAAATGCATCAAATTTGTTCTTGAGATCTCTAAATTCTGGTGGGATGTGTTGATTTGGCTCTTGTTTATTTGCTTTAATTTTCTTCAGCTTCTATCTGAACTTGTATATGGTCTGTTCCAGTCTGCCCTGACCCAGTTTTGGTTGATGACACTGAACTTCTCTATAATCTCTTCCCACAGAGGTAGTCAGTTTGATTTCTATGTATTCCATCTGGTGAGGTCCGTATGTATAGTTACCTTTATGTTGTTTAACAATGGTATTTGCAACAAAGAAGTCATTGGTCTTGCAAAATTCTATCATGTGATCTCCAACATCATTTCTATCACCAAGGCCATATTTTCCAACTACTGATCCTTCCTCTTTGTTTCCAACTTTTGTATTCCAATCAAAAAGTAATTTTCAATGCATCTTGATTACATGTTTGATCAATTTCAGACTGAAGAAGTTGGTAGAATTCTTCAGTTTCATCATTACTGGCTTTAGTGGTTGGTGCATAAATTTGAATAATAGTGGTATTAATGGGTCTTCCTTGTAGACATATGATATCCTATCACAGATAGCATTTTACTTCAAAATAGATCTTGAAATGTTCTTTTTGATGATGAATATGATGCTATTCGTCTTGAATTTGTTGTTCCCAGCATAGTAAATCACATGATTATTAGATTCAGAATAGCCAATATCAGTCCATTTCAGCTCACTAAGTAATGCCTAGGATCTTTATGCATTCATTTCAATTTTTTTTGATAACTTCCAGTTTTCCTAGATTCATGTAGGATAAGCACTCAACCACAGGACTGTGTTTGAACTGCAAGGTTGGTGGTTCAAACCCACCAGTCACTCCTAGGAAACCCTATACAGGGTTGCTGTAAGTTAGAATTGACTCTACGGCACTTAACAGCAATGATGCTTCATATATTCCATGTTCTGATTATTAATGGATGTTCGCAGCTATTTTCCCTCGTTTTGAGTTGTGCCCCATCAGCAAATGAAGGTCCTAAAAGCTTTGCTCCATTCACATCCTTATGGTCATTTCTTCTGTGAGGAGGCAGCTCTTCCCCAGTTGTATTTTGAGTACCTCCAACCTGAGGGGCTCTTTTTCAATACTACATCTGACAGTGTTCGGCTGCTATTCAACTTTTCAGTGGCTAAACATTCAAAAGTAGTTTGCCTCTCCTTCTTTCTAGTTTCTCGTAGTCTGTAAGCTCTGCTGAAACCTGTCTATCATGGGTGAAACTAGTATTTAAAATACCGGTGGCATAGCATCCAGCATCATAGCAACATGCAAGCCACCACAGTACACTAAACTGTATGGGATCACAGTGACAACAGAAACTTGAAAGATTAGATAGAAACTTTAGAGGAGAGTGAGTTTATGAGAGAGGAACAGCTCAGAAAAAGAGGGTGAGAATGGTTTCAGAACTTGAAGAACGTAACTAGTATCGTTATATATAGAATGATACATAGAAATGGTTGGATTGTGTGTTTTTGCTGTGTAGATTTGCAGCAGAAGCACAGAATAAATAAAAAAGAACATCAGAATTTATAACTGGCTAATTATTTGACATTTTACTATTATTAGTGTTCTTGAGGTTATTTATGTCTGTGTACACAC